GGTGGTATATGGCTGTAATCAAAGCAAGGATTTCTTGGAGCTTCTTTGTCAGCCAGTCTAATTCAGTGGATGAACTCCAAGCTCAGTGAGAGGCCCTGTGGAAAGAAAGAAAGAACTAAAGAAAGGAGGGAGGGAGGAAGGGAGGGACCGAGGGAGGGAGGGACCGAGGGAGAGAGGAAAAGAGGGAGGAAGGAAGAGAAAAACAAAAGAAAAAAGAAAGGAAGGAAGGAGAGAGGAAGGAAGAAAAGAAGGAAGAAATGAGGTGAAGAGTAATTTTAAAAAACACCCAATGTCAGCCTCTAGCTTCTACAACATGCAAACACATTATACACACACACACACCAGATTACATAAAAAATAAAATAATACATTCATCTGTGTCCTGCACCTATTGAATACAAGCCTACCTGTCATTAGAACTTCTCTTCCCTAATCATTTTGTGCCTAAAATTTATAAAATAGGAGCAGCCTCTGAATTCATACATGGAGGAAACAGCTACCATGCAAGGTCTGATAATGCAGTACATGGAGCTAAATCTAGTCCAGTCATGCAGATAAGCACATGCAAAAATGCACCGAGACCCTAGCCAGGAATGACAGTTGAGCTCCCAAAAGCCCCCAAAACTCTACAGCCCTGTGGCTGAGACTGTCTTAGAAATGGACCCCAGTCTCAGTCAAGCTGCCTCGCTGATGCTGTTTGGGAACAAAGGCTATATAGTTGGCTATTTGAACTCACTAAATATGGTCTAGCTTCATTCCACTAAGCAGTAACGAGTAATTCAAGAGCCAACTGGGAGATTCACACAGTAACTATGCTTAGCCTATGTCTGTTACCCAAAAATTCATAATTCATCTTGCTGCAGCTCACTCAACCCAGGATTTTTTTTTCCAAGACAGGGTTTCTCTGTGACCAAGTTGGCCTCAAACTCTTGGAAATCCACCTGCCTCTACCTCCCAAGTGCTGGGATTAAAGGCATGTGCCACCACCAGTATTCTGTCTTGGCCCTTCATACAATACATTGATAACAAATTAGGAAATACATATATATAATATATATTTAATATATATAATATATAAATATATATATATATAATTTGATGCTACCAAAACCAGTTTCACTCTACTATCCTGCTGTTTGAATTTGATTTTTATGTCAAAGATAAAGCCAAGGAGAAAATTTTTGAATCTTGTTTTGGCCTTTCAATAATCTAAATCTGACACTTTAAATATACATGACAACATTTAGTCAATTAAGACATTACCTTTGTACAATTCTGTGTTCACTTTTGTCATAAGAGCATTTTAAAAATGTAATGTCTCTTTTGAAAGTAATGTCTGAATTGACTGAACGTTGTCACGTGTATTTAAAATTGCTTGCATCTTGTTGCTTGGGGCCCATGTATTGGCTACAGACTACATGAAGCAGCCCACCCCATCTGTCCACCTTTTCTTCATTTGCCTTCAAAGATCTATGCATTTCCTTAAAAAAAAAAGTTTACTTCTATTGGTGTGCGTGTGTCTGTGTGCGCGCATATCAGTGCAGGTGCGGGTGTAGGTTAGAGAGGTGGAACGCCCTTGGAGCATGAGTTATGCACATGTTAGTAGTCCAACATGCATACTGCAAACTGAACATGGGCAAAGCCAGTACGTGATGTTTGATAATGGGGGCAGCAACACAAAGTCTATAATTTTAACCCATCATCTTCATGTCATTCCCTTTTCTACCAGGTTTTGCAAAATGAGTAAAAGCTGCAAAGTCCAAGAGAATAGATGAGCACATGTCATTGAGAAATTATTTCTAAGGTCTAGCATTGTTCCCTTCTAAGCCCCGAGTTAAGACCCACATAAGCAGGGTAACAGTCAGAGACTCCTTCCAAAAAGGGTTTCTGTTCTCTGTAGTTCCATTTCTGCAGGTTTCGCCTCTCTGAATTACCCTGCCTGCTCGTGGCTGTATCCACTGTTTACTAACGGAGGGGGCTAGGCTATGTACTGGGCTTGTGTATTTACCTTTGCAGCAGTGGGGTTTTCTGAAACTTCTGTAAACAGGTACCTTCACCTCATGAAAGGTTTCCTGGGAATTGAATACAGAGAAAGAGACGCCTATGTGGGAAATGAAAACACTATTTTTATAGCACATTCATCTTCTGTTGTCTACAGGGAGAGGGAGACAAACACACTGGGAAGAGATCAGTATTTGGACTGCCTTGAACTCCATCCTTGCCTTCCTTGCCAAGTTATTCATGTTGGAAGTTCAGTTTCCTGGTCCACACAAAGAGATAGGAGCCAACTCCTTCACAAATGAATCTGGATATGAAGTTCGGGCAAGCACATTTTTGGGACTCTACAAAGGACTGCCATCATAATATTAATGCCATTACTAGAAAGCTGTGAATTATGTCTACAGATAGAGGAAGGCTACCATGGCCACCTGTTCAGCACTTGTTGAAGTACTTTTTATCTTCCCCGCAATGTTAATTTCTCCTTCCAACCCTCCCAGTGTGGAGGGATTCTGAAGATTGAATGAGGTAGCATCAAGGTCTTATGACATCAGCACACTGCCAGAAAACCCAAGCTAACTCCAACCCTGACAGCCTCAGCCAGGGTCTCCTCACTCTAAGAGGGAATTGCACTAATTCGTTCTCCTCAATACAGCTTCACGCTTGGAGCAGCCGTTGTTGACGCTCTGTCCATTCCAAAGTGACCTGCCACTGTGATGGCTGGTTCGCAGGAAACTGGCCATCTCCCACTGTCCTGCTCTTTGGCTTTGCTGTGCGAAAACTCTGACTCCATAGAAACAGAACTAAGCAATGCAATGCAATGCAGGGGGTAGGGCAGGGGCTGAATCGAAGATGGGTGAAAATAGCTCACCTCCTCACGGTGATGCTTCTCATATACATTCTAGATTACCCAGCTAGTTATCAGAAGATTAGACCCACTTCTCTATAGTGGTAATCTATTCATTCATGATCCCTAAGGGATCCAGAACCATCTCCCCTATTTCCTGTGTTGTTTGGTTGTTCGTTTTCACTTGGACTTTCTGGCTCTCTTTCCAGAGAAATAACCCTGTAACCTTGTCTCAAGATTTCCTCCTTTGGAGATCCTGAGTAAGACACCAAACAGGGTAGGATGCACCCGACTTGCCAAGACTATCATTAGCCCTTGCCGGGAATCTAAAATGGTCCTTGCCAGCATAAGTGAGTATCTGGCATTTGCAGCTTCTCTAGTGAGAGCAATCACATCAGCTGTGTCTTTGTAGTGTCTCTATTCTCTATATTCCCTGAGCAGCAGAAACCTACTAAAATATTGAAAAATGTCTACAATTCAGTATTTCTATTATTAACAAGCCTACCTATGTATTCTAGTGGATGCAGATACCTTATAAAACTATAAAGCATTATCTCCACTGTACTGTCCTCAGCATCTATTAGAGTTGATTGTCCTTCAGCTTCCCTGTCTTCGTGATTACTGAATCCTTTTCTATCTGATCTTAGATTCAACTGCAGACCCATTTCAACTGCTGACCCAAATCTGAAAAAGCAAATGAGATACTGCCTTTGGCTCTCCACCCATCCATAATCTAGTTGAGAAGACAATTGCGTGCATAAACAGCTCTGATTTAAGGCTAACACTGGAAAACAAGCCCAGAAGGCAATATACTGGGTAAAGGGAGCTTTGTTTTCAAAGAGAGGACCAGGAAAAGCTTGGGCATTAAGCCATTTACAGACTCGGTGCCATCTCAGAGAGCTAGGCAACATGGCCAGTATAAGCATAAACACTAATACGAAGGCATGCAAAAAATGCCCTTAGCCCTGCAAACAATCTGTAGCCACAAGAGTGTTTATGTGAGTGACACAGTTTGTTGTGTACTGCAGAGTTCCTCCAGGGAACCCTGCCAAGTGGTTACCAGAGTATGTTACTGATTAGTAAGTAGACAGCGGCGGCTCAAGTAGAGAAGATAGGCCACATTGAAGCAATGGTAACAATATGCAGGGAGAGCAGGCTGAACCAGGGGAACAGTACACAGGTTCACATCCATGTATTTTCTCCAGGTTTGGAGTGAAGTAGTTTCTTGGTCCACAAAAGGAAGGCTGGTCCATCTTGTACTGAGCTACATCTCATTTTTAGTTGTCAGAGTTCACAAGCAAGACAGCATTTGCTGATTTCCCAAAGTGCTCCAACAACCCTTACCTAGGCATTCCCAGTTCTTCCCCACCGTTATGTAATCCATTAATGATCAAGTCGTAAGGATTATGTTCCCTAAATTTTTAGCTCTCTTCTAAGTTTTATCACTTCATTTTATGCCAGTAAATTCCATTTGAATTTCTGTCATTTCGGCTTGTCTCCTGCCTTCTATTTGCTTTCTTTACAATATAGGCGTTGTTCTGCTGTTGTTATCCTCCTGGATCCCAGTATCAAGTCATCTAATGTGTGGCTGAGAGAAGGGATAGCCGCATAGACAGGCTTGAGTTTAAGTCTTGGCTCTAGAGATTAAAATTCAAAGATGTATTTCCAGAATTGGCAAATGGCTCCCTTTGCCTCAGTACGTAATATATTGTCGCAAGTCACACCCGCTCATTTACGTATTACCTATGACTGCTTCTCTCCAGAGAATAGAAAATTAAGTAGCTTTAACACAGACTGAATAAAACACAAAGCCTAAAAATACTTGCTACAGAAAACCTTTGCCCTGGTATGAGAGAAGTATCAGAGATTAATAAAAACTTAAGAAAGAAAACCCAATGTACATGCATAATATAAATGCTTAGTGAAAGTCAGACATTGTAATTACCATTATTATTTCAAAATTTCTATTCATTGACCCCCATGAAGTCAGAACTCTGCATTCCTGAGTTCTCTGCAAAAACAGATGCTCAAGGCGCACTGGAAATTCCTGCTCCTGGATCACTCCTTCCCACAAAGCACATTCTCTAGAGGCTTGAGATGCGCACTGTGTCTTTCTCTGCTCCCTTCTCCTGAAGCCTCGTAAGGTGTAAACTTGCTTCAGTGTCCAATTCTCAGTACCACAGGCTCCGAAGAAGAGTACAAATGGGTCTTTCCTCCTAAATTCCAAATCCTAATCAAATGGAGGACATAAATGCAGCCTGAAACCAAGATTAAAGATTTTTAAAACTTCATAATTAAAACAAATGTCAAATTATGGGCTTTTCAGGCCAAAAGCAAACCATAAAAATCCAGCTGTCTTATTTCTTATAAATTAGGTTGGTCACTTTTTTTTCAATGAGTATTATCAACTAGTAACTAAAACTCATTTTCTCTTCTTTTTAACCATTTCTTTTCACATTTCATGGCTAGAGTTACAAATTCTGTTCCAGCCAACATTCATCCCTGCATCTCCTTGTTCCATTTTTTATTCATTGTTCTGATATTCACTAAGCATCCTAAAGTGGGATTATTGTCCAAAGTTCTAGGGACACAATAAAGAATGAGCAACAATTGACGTGCAAAGTGAAGATAAATATTCATGCAACTAAATGTTCATTAGGAAAAATGAAAACTAAATTCCAACATTAGTATTCAAACTTAATATAAAAGGCTTCCTCTGCCACACAGTCCCACTGTGATTTATCCTTTTGTGATAAATCCAAAAGATGGGGTCAAATGACCAAGTAATGGAACCTCTGAAACAATAATCCAAATCAAACTTTATCTCTTATTACTGTGTTATTTTTTTAAAGTTGCCACGCAAAGTGATGGGTTTCATTGTGTTTTAATAGTCAGATGTTATTATATATTATTCTTATTCTACCTCCTCCTCAACAGCCTTCTGTTTTCCCCCAGATGTTACTGTATGTTTTTCTTACTCTCCCCTCTCCTTCACAGCCCTCTATCGTCTCCCCCTTTCCCCTCTTGTACTTCCTTTCTTCTAAGTCCTTCCTCCTTCTGCTTTCAAGTCTCATGGAATTTCATCCCCCTTCTCGTTCCCCTAACACCATCATGATCTTTTAAATGTCATAACCTGCACACATTGCACATACATATATAGCGTAAATCTAGATGCCATATAAAAATGTGAGAATGCATGCAGTACTTTTTTTCTACAACTGGCTTATTTCACTTACTCTAATAATCTTTAGTTCCATACATTTTCCTGCAAATATAATGTTCTCATTTTTTGGCAGTGAAATATTTTAAGAGCCAAGCTAAAGGCATAGTGATACAGAGCTTAGAAAGGAGATGGATGATCTCTTGCCCACCATTTTTTGCTGGTTTTTATCAATCTATATTATTGTTGTTGTTATTGGTGCTGTTATTCTCTTATATAGCACATCCCATTTTAATAGCTAAAAAATAATTCTGTTGGGTTTTCTTTATCCAGTCATCTGTTTATGGACAAATAGGCTACAATCACATGCAGTATTGTGAATACTATAAACAGGAATTTGCAAATATTTGTATGATACATTGAATTAGGGCCTCTCAGTGATGAACAGGTAATGTGGTACCTATGATAATTTAGTTTTAAATTTTGAGAAACCTCCACTCTGAATTCCACAGATATCGCACCAATTAATGTTCTGACCAATAGGGTGTAGCAGTCGGTCCTTCCTCATATCTTTGTCTTGTTTTTTTTTCATGATAGTTATTTTGACTGAGGTGAAAGACAGTGTCAAAGCAGCTTTAGTTTGTATTTTCTAGAAGACTAAGAATGTTGAACACATTTTCAAATTGTATGGGTGATTTGTATTTTTCATTTGAAAACTATCTTCTAGCTCATTACCCATTTATTGATCATTTGACATTTTGATGTTTTGACTTTTCGGTTCTTTATGTATTTAGATACTAATCCCTCTTCTAATGTAAAGTTGGAAGATTGTTTTTCCCATTCTGTAAGATGCTTCTTTACTTTTCCCAGTTCTTTTCTGTGCTATTGAAGTTCTATCAAGAAGGTCCTTTGCCCAAACCTGTTTTGTAGTATTTCTTCTGTGTTTTCTCCTAGTAGTTTGAAATTTTATGGGTTTGCATTAAGGTCTTTGATCCACATTGAAATGATTTATATATA